GACTCAGTGATTGCCAGAGGGGGTTAAAGACTTACTAGTATAAATATAAGTCATGAAGCCATAAAAATCCTAGAAGAAATTATAGGCAGTAAAATCTCAGAAATTATAGGCAGTAAAATCTTATAGCAATTTTTTTTTCAGACATATCTCCTCAGGCAAGGGGAGAAAAACAAAAAATAAACAAATGGGACTACACCAAACTAAAAAGCTTTTTGTATAGCAACGGAAATCATCAACAAAATGAAAAGACAACCCACTGAATGGAAGAAGATATTTTCCAATGATACATCTGATCAGGGGTCAATTTGCAAAATTTATAAAGAACTTACACAACTCAACACTAAATAAATAAATAAATAAATAAATAAATAAATAAATAAATAAATAAATAAATAAATCACAATTAAATAATGGCCAAAGGACCTGAATAGACACTTCTCTGAAGAGGACATACAGATGGCCAACAGTCATGTAAAAATATGAGCAGCATCACTAATCATCGGAGAAATGCAAATTAAAACCTCATGCCTGTCAGGATAACTATCATCCATAAATCAACAAACAAGAGTTGGGAGGATGTGGAGAAAAGGGACCCCTCCTGCACTGTTGGTAGGAATGCAGACTGGTGCAGCCATTATGGAAAACAGTATGGGGTTTCTTCAATTAATTTTTTATTTTTACTGGAACTGCCTTTTGACCCTGTGATCCCACTTCTAGGAATATATCAGAAGAAACCTGAAACACTAATTCTAAAGACTATATGCACCCCTATGTTCATTGTCGTGTTATTTACAATGGCCAAGATTTGGAAGCAGCCCAAGTGCCCAGCAGTACCTGAGTAGCTAAAAAGGCTGTGGTACATTTACACAGTGGAATACCACTCAGCTGTAAAAAAGAAGGAAATCTAACCTTTTGTAACAGCATGGATGGTCCTGGAGAGTATTTTGCTAAATGAAGTAAGTGTTCAGATAAAGACAAATATCATATGACTTCATTTATATGTGGAATCTAATTAACAAAATAAGTTAACAAACAAAATAGAAACAGACTCATAGATACATAGAACAGACTGACAGCTATCAGAGGGGAGAGAGGTTGGGGCACTGGGTGAAAAGGTGAAGGGATTAAGACATAGGCAACAGTATGGTGATTGCCAGAAGGAAAGGGGATTGGAGGAGGTAGAAGAGGGCAAAGGGAAAATAAATAGTGGTATCCATATGTTAAAATTCATAGAACTGTATACCAAAAGAGTCAACTTAACTGGATATAATTTTTAAATAATAAATTAATAAAAGTAAAAAATACCTTAGAGTTAAGACAATCTGCTATATAATTTACAGATTGATTTTTCAGGAATTGGTTTACATAAATAAATACCAGTAAAAGCTGTCCTAGCTAGTTTGGCTCAGTAAATAGAGCGTCAGTCTGCAGACCAAAGGGCTTCGGGTTGGATTCTGGTCAAGGGCACATACCTCAGTTGGGTTGTAGGCTCCTCCCTTGCCCGGCCCTGGCCCTTGTCAGGGCACATGCAGGAGGCAACCAATAGATATGTTTCTCTCACATTGATATTTCTCTCTGTCTTTCCCTCTCTCTTCCACTGTCTCTAAAAATCAATGCAAAAATATCCTCGGGTGAGGATGCAAAAATAAGTAAATACTATAATTAACTTATAATAAATAAGATTTTCTTAAATATTTTGATAACACTCTCTAGAACTATTGTTTTAATCTTAGAAGTCAAGATACTGGCTGTCTAATTCCTTACAATTACACCATTTTTATTCCCCATGAATTCCCTACAAAACCATAGCATGGAATGAGAAGTCCAGACATCTTCTTCCAGAACTTTTTGTTTCTCCCAAATGGAATTTTTTGTACAGCCACAGACTAACATGGGTCAATTTAGTGTTATGCACAGAGCTAAAATATTTTTCCATATTGGTTGTGTCATCTACTTCCTTTAGCTATGTTGGTATGTTTCTAAATCTTCTCATATTGCTCTAGAAAGAAAGATTTCACCTTCAGATTGGGGCTGAGGAAAGGAAGGAGGAATAGAAAAGAGACTTAGAAAAAGAGACTTAGGAAAGGAAGTAGAAAGGAGACTTAGGACAAGGGGTCTTTTTGCCTCAGACATGTGCCCCAGCTTAGTTTATTTAATCAGTATTTAGGAATATATCATACTTATAGAGAAATTAATGTATTTATACTTTATTCCTCACTTAACTCTTATTAATTTTGTATAATTCCTTTACAGGAAAGAAGAAATGAGTGATAGGCTCCCAGTAACTGAATCCTTAAATGATTAGTCTTCATGACCCTTCACCATTAAGGTTTTTAAAAATTGGTGTGCACAAAATTAAAATCCTCTAAAATTACAAAGTCTATGAATGATATAAGAAGGGGGGAAAGTGTAGAACTGAATTGTCTGCCCTGTGCAAACTGAGAAACCACCCAAAGACTCTGCCCAGCTTAAGCCCTGTAGTTGACAATGTGTAAACTAACCTAAACACGAGAATGTAAGAATATGTCATACCATATGATAAGAGTGAATTCTAGCTAGAGTTATATAAAGCCCTCTTCCATTCCGTCCTCATTCCATTGTGCTTCTGGACTGAAACTTACTCCATGAATCTCTGTACTTTTTATTTTTGCTTTAATATAAGCAAAAAGGCAGCAGAACCATTCAAAGGATGAACAATCAGTGAGGCAAGACCAGAACCAGACCTCAAGGTTCTTATTCCCCTTTGCTAAAATTCATAAAGCTACACTGGGTTTTGAAGTGCACAGTATCCATTGACTCAATTTTATAAACAGCTCATTGTTAATTTATCATTTTATTCAGCTTGGATTATCAAACACATTTTATGACTTTTGGAGTGATCACTACATATTCCCTTCCTGGGCATTAGGCTGGCTTGGACAAAGAAGTGGGGGTATTTCCCTTGTCTAGTACAAAACAACTGGATCCCCAGATATAGAGGTTGTAATGCTGAAAAGCTGGCAGAGTTCAAACACAGTTCATTGTTCTGATTTTCTCTCAGAACAATATCACTGAGTTAGGAGACATATGATCAGTAGATGAGAAAATAAGTTGACATTTATATCACCCCTTTCCTATTGCCCCCAAATGCTTGTGATTTTTCAAGAGAAACTCAATAACGAAGTAATTACTCAAAAAAGTGTTTCACATATCTTATCCAGGTCAATTTATGCCATCTCTGACAGTTATGAATAACTTATACTTTCTCCATAGGGGGGAAAAAAACTAATACAAAACTTAGAAGAAAAATGGAAAAGTAAAGCCCAATCCAAATAGTGGGCTACTTTTAAGCCAAATCAATCAACTCCAGAAATTCCCCACTGCTCATTACACAATCCTTCACCCACAATGCTTTTAGAAAATGCCAAGTTAGCATCATCCAATAACCCTAACTCTGGACACCAGCCCATCCCCCACCTTGGAAATGGAAGGATACTTCCCCTTGGCTACATCTGACCTTGAGCCAAAAAGCAGCTATCCCTGGGTCTGGTGAGACATTTTTTTCAGGGAGATAGGCTTTGAGGTATAGGAATCTGAGGTCAGTAAACGCCAGCTGAGGCTGGCAAAACTATCTGGAATCAGCCTCCCTGAGGGTAGTAAAATAGGGGTGATATTGTTTACTCCAGAGGGTAATATAAAGATCAAATGAGTTAAGGGCATGAAAGTGCTTTATGAAGTGCTAAGTAATTTACATATGTATCAAAGAGCTGTTGTTTTCCAGCTTCACAGAACCTGGGTTGATTGAATGTCCCTCACTAAGCAGAACACTTTCTTCCCTTTATTTATTTATTTATTTTTTTGGGAGGGGGGGGCAGGGCGGAGAGATGCTCTGGGCTTTTCTCTAAGTCATTTGTTCTTCTGAGTCACAGATGTGGTGAGTATCAAAACTGACAGAAACTCATCCCTGCCTTCCCAGCTAACATCCTAATTTGTGGGGTAGGGATTGCAACTTCCTCTGCTCAGTTTTCCTAAGGAATTTTTTGAAGCCCAGACTCAATTCTTCCCTTTTAAAAATACCTTCCCTCCCCAGATCTCTGAGGTCCATGGCCACAGCAAATGCAAACCAACCTTTCAGATTAAACTATGACACAGTTAAAGAGTTCCAGGCCCCTCTTATCTTTCCCCTACTCTCCCTTTTCCCCCAGCAATCTTTAATGAAGTGGAGGCTGGAATTTAAGAAGGGGGGTGGGGGAGACTTTGTATCTACCCCTAGAGAGGGCTTCCTACGTTAACAAGGGCCAAGCTTTCCCTAACTCCTCCTGACCTCATCTGAAACACACATCCACGACTTCATACACACACGCACATGCTGGTAAACCAGCCCAACGCAGACAAATCTGACTTCCCCAACTTGTAGCACAAATAGCAGCAAAGAGACCAAAGTCTTTCACCGTCAGCTTCCAAAAGACACTGCAACCGCCCGCGACGCCGCAATAGCAGCCTCTGTGCTGCAGCCTTCCGCTGGCCATGGAGCATTGCTCTTCTGCCCGGCGCCCCACTCCCCTGCGCTTCACCCACTTCTCTCCTCAGGAGGTCAGGAGGAACCGGGTCACTTTGCACTTCTATGGAGAGGGAAGTTCAGTGAAGGAGATTCCCACCGAAGTAGCCCGAAGCCCGCTACTCTTTGCCCCCGGTCTCCACCCTCCTGCCCACGCAGGCGCCTGTGCGGCGGACGAAGGTGCCAGTTCTCAAGGTGCCTGAGCTCGCATGGGATGTGCAGGAGCTAAGCAGGAAGAACAGAGACGGGACGATGGCTGGAGATAGTTAGAGGATAAATGGGGCAGGACTGGGGAGAGGGACGAAGACTCCGCACAGGGGCACTCTCTCGCCCCGCTCTCACAGACTGTAACTCCGAAACGCGCAGATGGGCATTAAGGTAAAGGCCTTCCCTCCCTACTCTCTCCCTTCGCTTCCCCACTCCCAGCCTGGACGCCTAGTGGAAAAGCAAGGTGCGGGTGTACCTGGAGCGAACACCATGATTTCCTCCAGCCGTTACGCCCCTAGGTAAAGAGAGACACGAAGGCCAGGACTTGGAGGGGTCCGGTGCAGGTGCGCGTGCAGGGCGCGGACCGGCTGCGGGCCGGGGCGATCAGCACTTCGGACAGCTCCCTGCCGCGCGATCCCGGGCTGCAGGTCCAGCCGCTGCGGCGCGCTCAGCCTCCACAATGCACTGCTCCGCCAGCGGCCACAGCCGCGGCGGGAGGAGGAGACGGGATCCCTGCTCAGTTCATCCCTCATTCCTGTGCCAGCTCAGCATACGTAGCAGTTTAGAGAGCAAAGCACTCCTACAGCTTCTACGGGAGAAGGACCGAAGAGGAGAGAAAAAGGTAATTGCCCGGCGTCCCGGCAGGGGGACAGCTAATTGCTTCTAATTACCTGCTGTCACTAGTCCCGGTGGATATAGGACTGACATTTAGAATGGGTTTGTCCTTTCTTTTTCTTTTTTCTTTTTTTTTTTTTTTAACGCAAAAGCTTTACTGACTAAGTTCTTCGAGTTGGGCTGGCTCTGAACAGAGGGGTGGGACCGCCAAGTTAATCAGTCTTGGGCCCAGAGTCCCAGTCTTGTGCTACTATAAAAAGACAGCAGGAGGGAAGGACAGGGTGACCATGAAGGCATGAGAAGGGCGTCGCTATCAGGCCCTGCTCCCAGGCAGCCGATCTGGCTCTAAAAGCTCCTAGGCTTGGAGACCCTCAAGGTCATCACTTTAGAGAAAGCAGGGCCCCACAAGGAATTGGAAAGAGACCTCGTAAAGCTGGTCTCCTCCGTGGACAAACTCACACATCCTACGAAAGGATGAGTCAAGAGTCCCTTTCAAGTGTGAAAACAGCCCTGAAACCCATCAAGAAGCATTACTGCTTCCCCTGCCTTTACCCAACTGAAAACTATGCCCCCCATGTATACACCCAGTTCTACTCTAAGATACTGAGACATAACACCGCACTCCATGTGTCTAATCCTTGCTCATTTTAAAGCACTATCCAGTTCCCCCAAGAAATGCTTGTAACATCGGCCAAACTAGATGTTACCCAGCTTGAAACAAGTCCATCTGGGTTAAAACCTCAGTGCTAAAAATGATACAGGATCCTCCAGCCTCAAAGCAGATGTCAGTTGCTTTGGGTTTAATCCTCTATCTTTGCAGTTGAATGGAGTTTTACAAGAACAAAGGGTGATCAGAGTCATCTCCAGTGTTTTATAGGTTTTCTTCACTTGTACTTCTCCCTGGAAAATAGAGCTATTCTGAAAATACAGTATTTCTTAATAATTTGATTGGTGGCCATCAGCTCAACACTCTTTTGGAAAATATAAAGCATTCAAATAGCCTTATTGGGACTGGTTTTGTTCCAAGCCATCTGATAGATTGAAATGGCAAATAGTTTTACAGCTCTTGAACCACAGTTTGCCTGGAGGCATATGAACAGCCTCAACATAACATAATCATTACTGCTCTTAGCACCTGGCTCAACACAGGCTTGAACAGATGGGACCTGCCTCAGCAGTAACAAGATGCAAGTCAATTGATGGACAGATGAAGTGTGGGCATAACAAGATTCAGTCTGCTCATTTTCCCAAGTTATACCAAAAGCCAGGGACAAATGATGCTTATCACCATAAGTGTGAAACACTATTTGAAATAATCTTTGAATGAATGAAAGATCTCCTTCTTTTAACACACTCAATAGGGCTCTCCTCTACAATGTATTTTGTAATGAGCTTTATTTTCCTAATGTATGAACAATCACTCATGATTAAGCTCAAGAAAAAAGCAACAGAGTGTAGGGAAAGAAAAAATACATGGAAACCAGTCACACTCAGGTATAACTTCTTCACCATGTACTAGTTGTATGATCTTAGATAAATTACTTCCCTGTCTCACCTGCAATATAAGGATGAATGTATCTCCAAGGTTTGTTGTTGGGATTAAATGTAATAATAGATTAAGTAAGAGACAGCACAACCTCAATTAAACTCATTCCAGGAAATTACTGAAACTCTGGGAATAGATGACACCCTATAAGAATATGGTAGAGCAATACTTCTCAAACATTAATGTGCATGTGACTCCCACTGAAGATCTTGTTAAAATGCAGATTATGGTTCAGTAGAGCAGGGTGGGGCCTGAGCTTCTGCATTTCTAACCAGTTCCCAGGTGATGTCCATGCTGCAGCTTCTGCTTGTTCACAGACTATATTTTGAGGAGCAAGGTATTAGATGTATCAGCATTTAAAAAGAAATAAATTACATCTCCTTCAACCTCAGAGTGCATCTTTCTGTGATGTAAGAAAAGAATCCAGATGGATTCCCATAGAATTCCAAGCTAGACAGAGGCCTAGATAATAGAAGGGAGGAAAAAAAATGCCTAAAAATGGTCCCAGAGCTCCTTTGATGAGTCTACTATGGCAACAGGAGGTAATATGAACTAGTAAAACCAGTTCAACAGGTCAAGGACAGAAGAGAAAACTGTCTGTAAGGCCCATCCTCACTTCTTCTCTGACCTTCCATCATCACTTCCTCCCATCATCTCTTCATTTGCTCTACCCAACACACCGCTGCTACTCAGCCAAAGGACAGTATCCTCTTAACTCAGCTTTTCCTTATTTATATTTTAGTAAGAACAATTAATTTTACTCCCAATAAAATCAAGGCACATTAATGATTTTTTAATTTACAGATATTATATCAGTAAATATTATATTCAACAATATTATCTCTTAAGTTTTACTACTACTGGAGTCATTATTCTGTTGGTCTAGTAATGCTATTAAATTGTTATATCTTAATGTAAATGATCAATTTAGTAATAGAATGCTTCATAGGAAAATAAAAATTCCCTTTTATTCTACCATATAATCCAGATTCTTTGATATATCATTTATTCAGTCTTAGCCCACAATGGAGGCTTATGTTCCTAATGTAGACTCACTGTCTCTGTTTAAACACCTTCACTCAAGGCAACTCACTCTCTACTCAAGCCGTTGCATTTTGAGATAGCCATCTATCAGAGAGGCAGCCACGGTCGCTGCTGCTGCCGCCACCACCACCACCACCAGTACCACCACCACCACCACCACCAACCTCATTCTAGCACCATCATTCCCAGGCAATGATGGAAATAGTGATAGAAAGCAAGATGGTAAACAAGTTGAACTAGGTGCCCCAACCTTCCTACTCTTGTGCTGAACTTATCAAACTAGGCATTCCTATCCCTACTGACACTTAAACAAGATGAAATTGGAAAACACCGAGGGGGGGGGCAGGGGGGGGGTGAGTCACCTAATAGGCCCAGCTATTTTACTTGGAGACCTAGGAGAATATCTACACTAATAAAAGACAAACATGCAAATTGACCGTACCTTTGCTATGCCTTAAGCCATGCCCACCAGCCAATCAGAGTGACTATATGCAAATTAACCCAACCAAGATAGTGGCCGGCAGCCACGGAGCTGGAGCAAGCAGGAGGCTTGGTTGCCCCAGTGATGGAGGAAGCCAAGCTTCCTGCTTGCTGCTGTGGGCTCTGAGCTCCACTCAAAGGAACAAAGTTTCAATTATAGATGATAAATAAACCCCAGATACCTGCTTTCAGCCGGCCATGGCCACAGAGCTGGAGCGATCAGGAGGCTTCCCTCCCGCCCGCCCTGGCCGGCTCTGAGCTCCTCTCAAGACTACAAAGTTTCAATTATAGAAGGTAAATAAATCCCAGAATAAAAAAAAAAGAAAAAAAGGAGAGGCTGGGAGCTTCTGTCGCCGGGGGGAGGGGGGCTTGGCCAGCCTGAAAACAGCCCTCAGCCCCTAACCCAGGCTGGCCAAACCTCCATGGGGTGAGGGTCCCCACTGGGAGGGGCTTGACCAGCCTGCAAACAGCCATCAGCCCCTCACCCAGGCTGGCCAGGCACCCCAGTGGTGACCCCCACCCTGAAGGGGGTGTGACCAGCTGCAAACAGCCATCAGCCCCTCACTCAGGCTGGCTAGGCACCCCAGTGGTGACCCCCACCCTGATCTTGGACACCCTTCAGGGCAAATCAGCCGGCCCCCACCCATGCACCAGGCCTCTATCCTATATAATAAAAGGGTAATATGCAAACTGACCCTAACAGCAGAAAGACTGGGAATGACTAGTCACTATGACACACACTGACCACCAGGGGGCAGATGCTCAATGCAGGAGCTGCCCCCTGGTGGTCAGTGCACTCCCACAAGGGGAGCTCTGCTCAGCCACAAGCCAGGCTGATGGCTGCCAGTACAGCGGTGGTGGTGGGAGCCTCTCCCACCTCCTCAGCAGTACTAAGGATGTCCGACTGCAGCTTAATATTAATTTCAGGTGTACAACATAGAGATTAGACATTTATATATCTTATAAAGTGACTATCCCAATAAGTCTTATGCTTATCTGACACCACACATACTTATTACAATACTAGAGACCCGGTGCATGAATTTGTGCACATTGAAAGGAAATTAATTAAAAGAAATATTTTAGAGGCCAGGTAGGGACTGCAGGAGGGCTCCAGGGTTTGTCCGGCCCATCTCGTCCAGTCCTGATCAGTGAGACCCCAGCAGCAACCTAACCTACCGGTCGGAGCATCTGCCCCCTGGTGATCAGTGCGCATCACAGCGACTGGTTGAGTAGTCGACTAAACAGTTGACTGATCAGTAGGACACTTAGCATATTAGGCTTTTATATATATAGATTACTGACTATATTCCCTATGCTGTACTTTACATCCCCATGACTATTCTTATAACTGACAATTTGTACTTTCACCTTTTCAGCCATCTCCCCAAACTCCTACTATCTAGTGACCATCAATTTGTTCTCTGTATCTATGAGTTTGTTTCTGTTTTGTTTGTTCACTTATTTTGCTTTCATATTCCATATATAAATGAAATCATATGGTTTTTATCTATTCTGTCTAATGTATTTTTCTAGGTCAATCCACATTGTAATAATTGGCAACATTTCATTCCTTTTTATAGCTGAGTAATAATCCATTACATATATTTACCACTTCTTTTTTTTTAAGTGTTTTTTAAAATATATTTTTATTGATTTCAGCGAGGAAGGGAGAGAGAGAAAAAGAGAGATAGATAGAAACATCAAAGATGAGAGAGAATAATTGATCAGCTGCCTCTTGCACATCCCACACTGGGTACTGAGCCATTTAGTATGGGTTCCATTACAAAATAAAGCCCATTCTAGGAGGCAAAAGAACGGTCTCCCAAGGACATCTGCAAGAAAAATATACCCATTTTAAAGTGCTATTTCAATCCCATAGATTATATGTTCATCAAGCCTCTGTAGCTTATGAATCTCACAAGTCTTTTTAGTGTGACACCAGGGAGACTCTTACTTCCTGACTCACAGTTTGAGTCACTGTAAATGATCCCCCAATGAGAGCCAGCAAGTGATAAAGGGTAGATCCTGGAC